ATTCATCCTTTGCTTTTGCATTCTACCTAGTCAAGTGAGTGGTGAGTTGGCATTCAGATCAAGGTATTCTGATTCTGGAGTCACATAACAATAGGTAAACATGGGACAGTTCAAATAAGTTTGCTTGAACATAAAATATTCCTTGATAGTTCTTAGTTTTTAGTTTGACATTAAAAATCCTTTCCAGATTTGTCTCAGCCTATTTTCCAATCTTGTTTCTCAGCATTTGATCCTTCCCATTAAAGGGGATTAATTTCAATGGCTCTATCCCCTATTGCAATAACATTTCCCTTGCTAGAAATATCATTTTTTCCTTACTATCCTCCCCTTTCAAATCTCTTTTAGATAATTAAAACAACTGCTAATTTAAAAGTTAACTTCTCCATTAACATTTTTGTACCTGCCAGAGAAAGAGAGAGAGAGAGAGAGAGAGAGAGAGAGAGAGAGAGAGAGAGAGAGAGAGAGAGAGAGAGAGGTAGATGCAGGGTGATCCCTGAGCACAGAGCTAGGAAGAACCACAGCTGGAGTGGTCCAACACTCAAACTCACCCAAATGTTCTCCTTTCTCTCAGTTTTTAAAGAAGTTCTGATGAACTTCAATTAAATTGCTTGTCTCTTTCTTGTGTTATGACACCATATTGTAACTCTGTTTATATCCACACTGAGACTAAAAGGAACTTTAAAGGAACTTTAAACTTTTCTGCTTCTCTCCACATTCCGCCAATATTGCCTAGCAGAATATCTTGCACATTTAACGGGGACATCAGAGACACTTTACATGGAAAGTAAATCTTCCTGATTAACTCCTGTGTCAACTCAAATTGGGTTCATCCTACGTACTTAGAAGATAATGCTCCCTTATTTCCATATGATGATCTATTCCATAAAATCTTTAAAAAAATATCCAATCTAGGTTTGGTGATGGTCAAGTGCAAACCATAAGAGCCTAAACAAAGTAAAAAAATAATGTCTTAAAAAATGTTCACACATATAGAAAGTATTTTTCAGAGACACCAAATATTTCCATCCTAAACTTCTGATGATGAGGGATACATTTATTACCTAGATTTCAGTAATTTGAATACAAGCATGGACTAGAGCAATAGCACAGCAGTAGGGAGTTTGCCTTGCATGCAGCCGACCCGGGTTTGATTCCTCCTCTGGGAGAGCCTGGCAAGCTACCAAGAGTATCTTGCCTGCAAGGCAAAGTCTGGCAAGCTACCCATGATGTATTCAATATGCCAAACACAGTAACAACAAGTCTCACAATGGTGATGTTACTGGGCCCGCTCGAGCAAATCAATGAACAATGGGAGGACGGTGACAGTGACAGTGACAGTGAATATAAGCATATACATATGTCTAATTTCACCAAATATCATACATTACTTATGTCATGGCGGTTTATTATATGTCAATTATATCTCTAAAAAGATGGATGGGGAAGGAGTCTTTGAGGAAAAAATATATAGACCTTGTTTCTGTATTCTAATCTAACATTACAATTTATTTACTGTAGATATCAAGCTATTTTTAATGTTACTCTGCATCAGTTTCATAATCATAATAATGATATTACTTCACAAGATTATATTTCTGTAAGCATGAAATAAGTTACAGTATTACATTACAGAGTAAAAGTTAGCCATTATTACAAGTTATTTCTCATGGTTAATAATTCTGGATTTCGCAGTGACTTTTTACCAATTGAAAACACATTCCACTTTTTGTTCGAACTTAAATTTCAATTAAGTATTATTAATGGAGTTTTAATGGGTATACGTTCTTTTATCTTAAGCTGCAAGCCTAAAGAGCATGGGATAACTTTGATTATTGAGAATACTCTACATGCCAAATATTTGGCTAAGTTCTTTCTATAAATACTCATTCAATAATCCCAACAAAAGTATAAGCTTGCTATTATTTCTATACATAAAGAATAACAATGATTAAGCTAGAGAGAGTAAGTGATTTTTTCAAGTTGCATAGGCTGGTATGAAGTAAAGTGAAGGAAGTTCTTTTCATTTCCTTTTTCTTTTAAATTGCTGTTGGGGAGATGCCCTCAGGTATACAGACCTGGCAGTGCTTAGGGGACCTCAGCTAGGATCATGTGATGCCAGGATCAGAACCCAAAACTCAGTACATAAAACTTATGTTCTCTGCACTTGGGCCACAACCTTTGACCTGAGAAAAGTGCCTAAAGACAAAAAAATGTAATTAAATGTATTTCTCAAAATGCTTAATATTCATTCATTTATAAACAGAATTATAACCTATATTTAATTTTATTAACTACTATGCATTGTGCTATGATATTCTTTAAATATATAGTCTTTATAAAGAAAAGAAAATACACTATATATTTGCCATTATATATGCAGATATATACTATATATGGTATATTTTTTATTTTAAATATAGTATATATATATATATGGTATGTATATGATATATATCCAGTATGTATATTTGCATAAATATGTTATATTTTCGTTTCTTTATTTTATATATAGTATATATGATAAATAGTATACATATTTGCATATTAATAGTGTATTTTCTTTTCTTTTTAAATATACCTAACAGAGCTTTTTTTCCATTCACACATTGAAACAAATTGAAATTAGCTTATTTTGTTAGACTTTTAGACTTTTCTATGACAATGACAAGAGTATGATACGTTTTTGGTATTTTTCAATAAAACTGGAAACCTTAAGTAGTTCTAGACATTTGTGATAATCGTCAAATGATTTGCATCATTGGATTTATCATTATATTTCTTCAGATTGATGCTATTTCTACCTGAACTTAGTGACACTGAAAGGAGTGCTATAAGGTATTTGTTCCATATCTTTGATTCACCAGGTGAGAAATGGGACTCAGGAAAGAGAGAAAACATGCCAGTAGTATCTAGTTAGTGAAAGAGGCTAAACAAGAAGGCACAAATGGCTCAGAATCAAATTTCTGTATTCCCATGATCATACTTCTTTAGCAAAGCTATATTGTCATCCATTTGTAAACAAACACCGTATTTTTATTTTTTCCCTCCCCTTCCCACCCACTCACTTCATATTTTTTATATCCTAAAACTTCTTAGTCCATGCATAGTTTAGTTTTGGAGCAGTGTCACCTGCTTCCATATATTTCCAAATATGAAGTAAATAAGAAAATATAAAAAGCCATTTAAAGAAGTAAATGGGTATCTGAGCAAGAAATGTTTATCACCCTCTGACGAGACAACTATCAAAACAGATAGCATTTACAAAATGTTATAAAATTTTAATAAAGCTTATTCTGCTAATCGTCCATAAAATAATTAAATAAAATAACAAATGTTGAAATAATTATAAGTGATAATATAACAAAAATCATCCATTTTTGTATTTTATATAAAATTTTATTTATAATTTGTTTTTTATACATAATTCTAATTGTATATTATACAAATACTGCTCTCCAGTAAAATAGGGGGAGCACAGTCTTTCCTGTCAGGAAATTTGAAAGGCACTGTTTAAAGGTCTAGTTTCAGTTGCCACCAACACTTTGATAAAACAATCCTAATGTTCCTGATGAGGAGAGCTGCTGAAATTTTTCATATAATTTAATTTATTTTTGTCAGACCCATCAGTGTTAGGGCTTATGCCAGGCTTGCGCTCATAGATAACTCCTGGTCATGCTTGAGGATGTGGGGTGCTGAGAATTGAATCTGGGTGAGCTGATGCAAAGAAAGTGCCCTAACCTGCTGGAATCTGCCTTAGATGCCAGCTGGTTGAAATTTTGAAATTTGATTCAATTCTTTCTTCTGCACCATTGCTTTCTACCAAGACTGGTAACTACTTTTGTACTTTTCTTCTCTATTTTTTTAAAGGTGGGGTTGGTTGGGGGGCATACCTGGCAGTACTCAGGGTTTACTCTGGAGGTGCTTGAGGGACCATATTGGATGTGGGGCATTGGACATGGGTTGAATGTATTCAAGGCAAATCCCTTACCCATTGTGCTACCACTCTGACCCTTCTGTGCTTTTCTTATATGAATAATTACCACATTCCTGAAGACATGTTATGTATCCATAACAATCACTGTTGGCGTAGATGCATGCTGAAAGTAGTCTATGGACCAAACATGATGACTGCTTAGTACTTGTTTTGCAAACCAGTGCCTGCCACAGAGGCAGGGGTGGGGAAGGGGGTTTTCGGGGTGGAGGAGGGCGGGGGGGAGGGCAGGATACTGGAAACATTGGTGATGGAGAATGGGCATGGTGGAGGGATGGATATTCAAACATTGTATGACCAAAACATAATCATGCAAGTTTGTAAGTCTGTAACTGTATCTCATGGTGATTCATTAAAATAAAAAGAAATAAATAATGTTTACACTAATGGATTACAAAGATTACCTGTTAATAATTATTAATAAAGTTGAAACATGTTTTTAAAAAGTACAAAGGAAACATTTTCTTTTCTTTTTTTTTTTTTTTGCTTTTTGGGTCACACCCAGTGATGCACAGGGCTTATTCCTGGCTTTGCACTCAGGAATCACTCCTGGCAGTGCTCAGGGAACCATATGGGATGCTGGGAATTGAATCCTGGGCTGACCGTGTGCAAGGCAAATGCCCTAACCACTGTGCTATCGCTCCAGCCCCAGGAAACATTTTCTTGGAAGTCAGATAAACACATGAGTATTTAGATCCAGTAGAAATTCTGAACTCATACATACTGAAACCCTATTTCTGCCTGAGGTAAATGAATAGGTTGTCTAATATTAAACTTTAGTCAAATTTGTATCTCAAGAAGCTCTTCTATACTGCTGAGATTTTAATACTAAATAGGTAACGCAGCTATGGCTGTCTCATGAAGCAAACCCCACACCTGCTCTGTATGCACAAACACCAGCCCCCATGCCTCTAGCCTTACCCCGCGGCGTTGATTATACTTCTAATTACTAATGGAGTAAAACAGACTAGAACATTTACTTCAAATGTCAGCTTCAAACTCCACTTACCAAAATAGTCATCAGCAGGTGGATTTTCCATGTCAAACAACATCTTTTTGGTCAGTTGCTCAAGCTCATCCTCAGGATTGAACAAGGAGGGGCCGTAGTGGGATCCCACCGGGCCTGTTTGTCCACCCTGAAAGATAAAATGTGCATAATTATTTAAATATGATACACACACCAACCCAGGAAAACTGTTGGCAAAACACAGTAAAACAGAAAGGAGTTGGTTGTCGGTGACCTGAGCTTTAGAATCAGTTTTATTAGTTATCCAGAATCTGACAGGAACACTTCTTTTATCACATTATTTCATTTTATTTTTATTGAATCAGCATGAGATAGTTACACCTTGAACACTTCTATGATATTCACTTGCCATGTCTGAAGAATCACCTATCAGTGTTTAGAAATCTATGTTTATAGGATTAGGGCTCAAGTTCACTCAACAACTTCCAGTCACCCTGTGCCAACCGGATACATCTTAAAATGAATAAGCAAATTGGGTCCTGCTCCTACGGGCCTAATAGTAAAGTGAGAAATTTAGACATGTTACAAATGAAATATAAAGCAAATGTAGAATGTTCAGAGTTGGAGAAAATGGAGAGAAAATTCAAATCCAGAGAGGCAGCTGCAAACACTAGGAATAGCTAAAGGAAAGCTAGCACTCAGAGAGAGGTTTCATATAAGTAGGTCACAAAGGCCAGACAACATGTAGAGCTCCTATATATTGTATAATTTTGGACTACATATGCATAAATCTTGATATACGATATGAGGTGAATCACACAGAAAGGGAGATGCAAAAATTAAAGATTCTTCTGCAATCAGTTAGACATCAATAATGGAGGGAGGTATATCAGTAGTGTTGCTACTAGTTTGGAGTTTAAATAGGAAATGTAATCAGAATTACAGGCAAAGAATCAAGTATATGGTGAAAGAACATTTTAGGTTTTGAACCAATAATCCAAAGTATATGGAAGAAAAAGAGAGTTAAGACACCAGATGTAAACTGGCTTTCCACACTGCGAACAAAAGGAACATTCTTATATTTGCTTTTGCATATATTTTAATTTTCACCATTTTCAATGTTATATATCACATCTTAAATCAATGAGTTAAATATAGCTAGACTGCTGAAAAAGATGTCTGCCATGGTAATTGGCAAAGACAGAAATTCTCTTTCTTGATGTTTATGCATACTAAATTAATAGACCAAGAATTTCTCCTTGCATGAGTATTTACAAGAACTACATAAAAACATTTGAAGTAATATACTTGTTCAACTTTACTTGAATATAATATTGTTTATTATATCAAACAATAATAAAATGGAAACTTTTTAAATTAAAAATAGTTTAAAACACGCATATCTGTGCAAATGTCTCATTCATCCAAGTACAGTTGAACTACTTTTAATAGTTTCAGTAGTTAAACTACATCCTTTGGATTAATTATCTATAGGATACCGAAGGCATAAAATGCCTTCAGAATATGTGGGATATTACTACGGTGCCATTAGACTCTTTATGACTGCATTGCATTTTTAGGATTGCAAACATGTTTACAAAGTTGAAATAAAGTCATGCAGAGGATAAAAAGACCAAGACTTTATCATAAGGGTCACTAACCATACTCCTGAGATTTAAGTATATTGTTAAAAATTTGAAATGTAAATAGAAAAATAGTGAATGAATTATTCCATGTGGCATTCAGAAAAGTTTACAGGAACAAAAATGGAGTTGCAGGTTGAGATCTAAAGAGTCATTCTATCAATATTTTTATTTTAAGATAAACTGAAGTCCAAAAAAAGTCTGGTGGTACACATAGTTATGATAAGATCCAGACAAAAGCCCAACATAGATAACTCAAGTACTTAATACATATTAAATTTTATGTTTAGCATCTTCTCTAAATTGTTAAAAATCAACAACCTTAGAGAGTTGAGGTAAGGGTTAAGGAAACATTGAAATTTTCATTTACTTTTCTTATAAGTTTTTGTTATGCTATATTATTTTATCCATACTCTGCCAGTATCATAGGGGGTCTTGTTGATATACTGGCCAATCTTTGCTTTGAGGGACTTAGAGATGAGTGGGGGAAGGAACATGCATAAGTGATAGATTATTAGAAAAGTCCCAGTATGTTGAAAGTGTATGTAAATATGAACATTGGAGAAATTAATGGTATTATTAAGATTTAAAATAAAATGCACATAAACTACACCTACTTTTAGGAAAATTTTGTTTTTTTAATTTTTTTTCTTTTTGGGTCACACCTGGCGATGCACAGGGGTTACTCCTGGCTCTGAACTCAGGAGTTACTCCTGGCGGTGCTCAGGGGACCATATGTGATGCTGGGAATCGAACCCGGGTCGGCCGCGTGCAAGGCAAACGTCCTACCCACTGTGCTATCTCTCCAGCCCCAGGAAAATTTTAAAGAAATTCTTTAGAACAACATGCAATTATAAAGCCAGTTCTGGTTCTAAGATATATTTATATCTATGACTCTCTCTCTTTCTGTCTCTCTCTCATATCTATCTATCTATCTATCTATCTATCTGTCTGTCTGTCTACTTTTGGAGCCACACCCTGTGGTGTCTAGTGTTTACACTTATCTCTGGATTCAGGAATCACTCCTGAAGGTTCTGGGGGACCATAATTGGTCTGGACCATAACTGGCCAGAGATCAAGCTGGAATCAATTGTGTGCAAGAAAAGCACCTTATCGTGGACCATAACTGGCCAGAGATCAAACTGGAATCAATTGTGTGCAAGAAAAGCACCTTATCGTATTATCTGTCAAACTCTAGGAGCTATATTTTAAAGAAAGAACAAAACTAACAATATAATGAAGGGAAACCTAAAGGAAATAATACTATAATAGTACTCAAATAGCAATGTGTATAAGTAGCTGTGTAATGAAGTGAACAGATCAAGTCTAACACACTTAATGATGGTCTTATTTTAGTAAATTAAGTATAGTGTCATTATCAAGAAGTACATGTATATATGTATCTATATTCATAGGAAGAACACCTATAAGGTTACAAATATGAGAGATTATTACTGAGTTTGGAATCCTAAAAAAAACTTTCACTTTCTAAGTTTGTGTTTCTTTATTTTACAGTATGTAATTTCACTTCTGTAACCATGAAATATAGCCTTATTTTTAAAGATAATTAACTTAAGTGAAAGATATTCTAGAAACTAACAAATGGGTGAAACAGGAGTGAGCTTCTGATCCAGTTGCAGTGGAAGACCCATGAGACAAAAGTTGACGGTGGGAGTCAAGCTTGGTGTGTGTTCTGTAGAGAACTGCAAGAGGTTTTGGTGAGGTGGTTACCACCATAACAAACTGATCACGGGTTCCCTAAGAGTTAGGAGTTCTAGGCCTGGTATAAGATCATGAATAAATAAAAATATCTTGGGCTAGATACCTTTATGGAGGATAACAGCATAATATAAAATGTACATATTATTACATATTTCAGGTGGTACAGAGAGTCCTATATATTTCTATAATATATGCCATAAAATTCACATGTTATTAATCAGAATATTCATAGAGCAGAGGGAACATATCTAAAGATATTCATGTTGGAATATCCAGTCAATAGAAACTAGGAGAGACATTTTGGTAAAGAAGCAAGTGAGGGGCTGGAGTGATAGCACAGTGGGTAGGGCGTTTGCCTTGCAAGGCGTTGACCAGGATTTAATTCCCAGCACCCCATATGGCCCCCTGAGCACCGACAGGAGTGATTCCTGAGTGCAAAGCCAGGAATATCCCCTGAGCATCGCTGGGTGTGACACACACACACACACACACACACACACACACACACAAAAAAAAAAAAAACAAGGAGCAAGTGAGCTGGGTTTGGGACGTTCTCAGTGGACTGGGTAGGCTATAAGTGGACTGAGACACGGAGCTTACATAAGATATTGTTGGTCAGAGTTCGTAAAAAAGATGAGTTTGTATCTGACTGGAGGATGATTCCACTAGGACATTCACATATAACTAGGACAGCCACCTGGTGTCCTTCGATGAGCTTGTGGATCTTTAATCATTTCTGATGCCCTTCTGTAAAATGGGCTTGCCCATTGCTACTGTGTTTTCTGTGAGAACTGAAATGAGATTGCATCTCATGCTAGGTAGAACTAAACTACTTCAAAATCATGAGAACAAAGGGTTTCTCTTTGAACCCCCTAATTATACTGAGCATGGGGATCACTTTCGTTTAGGTAATGCAACTGCAGACAAGAATAGGAATATCACCTACATATTCCCCAGCCTGACTCCAAGACCTAGAATTAACAGATGCGTAAGTCTTTTTTTGGATGGGGGAGTAAGTGGGTATTGGGGGTATACCTGGTGTTATTCAGGGCTTCCTCCTGGATCTGTGCTCAGAGATAAGTCATGGTAGGGCTCTGGAGACCATATGGAGTGTAAGGGATTGAAGTTGGGTTAGCACATGAAAGGCAAACACTCTGCCTATTATATTATCTCCCAGGCCCTTAATTAAGAAAGGAGTTCCAAAGCATAGACTCAACAACACTGAAGACATGAGATCTAAACTACAATGGCCAAACTTTGCAATGTGTCTGTTGAAGTGGCCAATGGGGGTGGGGGAAGGAACCAGGAGAGAATGAAGCTTGAGTACACTAATAGAGGGAAGTTGGCTCTGGTGGTGAGAATGGTGTTGGATTATTATAAGCATAAAACTCAATTATCATAATTTTGTAAATCATGGTTCTTTAAACAAGTATTAATAAACAATTACAAATCAGAGAGAGAGAAAGAGAGAGAGAGAGAGAGAGAGAGAGAGAGAACTTGAGAGCAAAAAATGTAAGGCACCGACTCCAAACTGATCTTGATTTCGTATATTCGTTCTAACCAAACATTGCATTCAGTAGAGAAAAGTGATAGAAAATCATGTCAAAATTCTAATGGGGCTGTGTTTTCATTAAAAGAAAGATAAAGAAAACATCATGACCCCTGCTTCCATGTGAGGGAGAACCTCAAGGCAAAAACATAACCTATGATTCACTGGGCTCTATGTTCATTCTCTTTTTCATGTAAAGTCAAACATGAGATCAAGTCTGACTTCTCAAATACAAGACAGCAATACATCAACAAA